CTGTCCAGCGAGTGTTCCAATTTTCTGTTCTCCCATAATGAAATCCAGCTAAGGATAATCACTTGACTACCATCACTCCATTATTTAGGCTGAGTACTGAGGCCAGCAAGAAAATCAATAGTCACTTCTGGGGACGTCAGGGCGAGATAAAGCTTTTTACACAAGGTTAGGAGGGCACTTCCTTTTGTGCTGGAGCTGTGTGCTGTTTATACAAGTCACCAGCTATTGTATGGTTTATCAGTTGTTGTATTTTTGTTGGATGTGAAGCTGCACTACAGAGCTTACATTCACACCATAGGAAGAAAGTCCAGTGACCGATTTATTAGAACAATGGATACTAAAGCCTTCCTAGAACAGAAGGTATTCACATGTCTAATGCAATTGCATATCCCAAAAATAAGAGGATTAGTCCTCATTTAAGGACTGTGGGCAGAGCCATGTAAATGATTCCTTTATGCCCCATCAGCCAGATATACATCCAGAACCGTTAATAAACAGTGCAAAAATACCCTAATATTGTAGAGCATTTATTCCAAACTACATACAGCTGTCTCAGGCTTTTTGCCCATCATCAGTTCAGTGTATGGAAACCATGCTTTTTATGGAGTAGGGCTTGGAACCCAACAAGACAGTACAACCATATAGGTTACCCAACTCAGTGTACACATACAAGTTGTCCTAACATGTTAAAGCACATTTCTGGCCAAAGAGTAACACCCCTCTGACCTCCCCCTTTCACCCAATTAGGGGGTGATTTTAAAGCGTAACAGCTGGGCGGATGACACTTGTGTGACATTAATGCCTCTAGATGGAGCCGAGGAGCATAGCAATTTCCATCTAGTGGCAGTAATGCTGTGCAAATGCTTTATTAATTAGCACTGCAGTGTTTTGTTTTGTTTGTTTGTTTGTTTACATACCTTGTGAAGCAGTGTTTTACTACCCTAGGCCTGCCTTCTGGGTCCCTTACCAACCCCTTTTCTGGGTGAAGGGGACAGGTAATGCAGCAATGTAGATTTGCCCATGCTGCCTAGTCCCCTTTTGCTGACATCCCCGCTGAGTTCCCTGTTCTGGATCCTAAAAGGACCCTGGTGCTGAACAGCCAATAGAAAGTTTTCACGCTATTTAGGTAGTGATGCGAATACCTGAAGAAGGTTGTGCCTAGAAGTAGAAGGAAGACTCAGTGGTGGAACGTCACGTGACCATGGATTTCAGTGAATGAAAGGGGCATTTACTGTAGGTAGTAGAGCAAACCAGATACAGCACATTAGCAAACTAAATGGTAATCAGTTATGGTCATGTAGGCCAACAGTTCACAAACTACATGAAGAGTTATTGCAGTAGATTGGTTGCGGTCACTTTTTTGGCTGAAAATCTACATTTGTCGATCTGGCAGGGCCACTCACTGTATGAATTTCATTTGAGTCCTATATATGGCCGGTCTTACTTTGGAGAGATTTTCTCTCGTTTCCTGATCTGTCCATGGGACAGGAAGTGAAGGGAAATCTCCCCAATGGAGCACAAAAACATAAATGGTTTTAACTCCTCCTTATTAAAAAAACAGGTTTTGGCTTTAGATATACTTTAAATTAGCTTTTAAGTAGTGGTTATATTGTAGACCAATGATCAGTAGACTATTCTTATTTCAAATATATAGTCCTGCATAATACAGGTTTTCAATGCAACTGTTTCGGAATCCATGTCCTGATATAATCATCTTGGTTTCTATGGAGGCATGTAGATGGGGCACTCAAGTAGGGCAATTAACCTCTTTATGTATTCCATGGATTTACAGGTGCACCATCATGTTCATTATGCTATCTCTCACACACACCAAAATTAGTATGGTTACTTTAAAATTAATTTAGAAGTTTTGCAATTCTTTTATAGGAAACTATCTTGTACACGTGGCTTCTTCTGCCACTGTGTACTGTCTATTACTAGCAAATAGCCAGTTCCCCTACCTTCCTTTGACCACACCAAACACAGACAGCCTCAGACAATGGAGACATTCCCCCCAGCACTGGGTAGGAGGGATGGGTAAGAAAGCTTTGTTGTCACGTGACCATAGAGTTCAATTTATAAAACAAGGTAAATCATTTTATTTTTAATTGGATTTTTTTTTGGAGCTGTAGTAAGGTTGTTTTATTAGGATACTGTCCTTTGTCATTGCCTCCACATATTCTTTAAAGAAGAACTCCAGGTTAAGAAAAAACTTACCTGTGCTGCAAGGATTAAGTGCTCTTTTTTTTAACTGGGGGACACAAATAAAGCAGATATACTCACCTGATTTCTGGTCCCCTGGCGGTCAGCTTACCTCTCTCCCCCTACACTCTGTCTGCAAAATTTCCCTCGGTTTCCTCAAGTCCAATGCAGGTCAATGGACATGATGACGTCAACGGTCCCTAGACCACCGGAGCTTGGGGAAAAAGAGGCTGCAGGGACCGGTCTAGCAGCCCAGAGAGAGCTGGTAAGAGGGGGCATCGGGTGGGTAATACAGCTATATTTGAGCCAAACGAGTACTTGACCCTTGCAGTGTGGGGGTAGCCACACAGCAAAGGTACGTTTTATGTTTGCCTGAAGTTCTTTTTTAAGGACATCTGTTGCTGTTGGGCCAAGTTTACCGGCTTTAAAGGAGAACTATGACATGAGTGATTTCCACTCACCTCATAGTTCTAAGCCGACCTGTGACAATGAGACTGTCACAGGTCGGCTCAGTAGATCGGGAGGTGAGAGAACACATACCGGGTTCCCTCACCTCTCGATCCTGTCACGGCTCTCTGCCGTGACAGGGGGAGGGGCTGGATTCCCCTCTCCCCGCTCCGATCTGCCAGCGCTGACTGGCGGAACGGACGGGGGAGGGGGCGGGTACAGCTGGCTCTGCCTCTAGATAGGCAGAGCCAGCTGTCACTCACGCAGCTGGGCGGATCCCGTCATCTAAGTCGGGATCCGCTCCAGGTGCAGCGTCTCAGTATACCGCGAGCTGTAGCTTGCGGTATACTGAGCTTAGGGTAACGGGAGGATGCTAGTTTGTGTCCTCCCGTTACCCCAAGGAGAACTATGGGGAAAAACACTGACCCCATAGTTCTCCTTTAAGGCTCCAGATACCAATAACAAGCTAGTCCCTGAAATGTAATCCCCTACCTGTCTACAACTTTCACTATTACCAATACGTCATTATAAGATTATAATTTTTGAGCTCTGTTTGAAAACGATATAGTATAAGCTGAAATCACCTGTTAGGGAGCTTAGGGTTCTTCAACAGGACCTGTTCCTAACAAGGATTATGGTCAACGCCAAACTGTGTGGATGGCTTTTCAGTAAAACATTCCATTTCTTTCCTTTCTTTCTCTTTCTATAAAGGAAATTCATGGGGAACAAATCAATTATTTACCAACTAATTTCTCTTCATGGAAGGCATATTAATATTTCATAGGGAAAATACTCCAGTGCTGTAGACAACGTCTAGATGGAAGAGAAGTTGTGGGGAGATTTGTATATCCAGGTTTATTTTAACAACAATGATGTCTGCATCTTTTTCCTGCTGAGGGAAGGAAAGACATATCACTAGCTTTATGATTAATGACACAGCCGGCTCTGATGAGAGATTCATTGGTCATATGTACATATCCGTTATAGATGTTTTTCACTTTTTCTGCATATGACCAGTTTTGAAAATAAGAGGTTACCAGCAATAATCATGTAAGAATCTTTAGGGGTTGTGTTCGTTTAAAGTGAACTTGTTATGACCTAAAAAGTGTGCAAAGCATGGGTGTGCAACTCCGGCCCTCCAGCCCTTGTGGAACTACAAGTCCCATGAGGCAATGCAAGGCTGAAAGTTACAGGCATCACTCCCATAGGCAGAGGCATGTTGGGATTTGTGGGAAAAGAACACCCGGAGGTCCGGAGTTGCCCACCTCTGCTCTAAGGTAACAATACAAGTGAAGATCCAGACACCTTGTGTTGCCTAAGATACCTATAATAATTGTTAATTCGAACTCTACCTGAATTTATTTACTTTGCTAAATCATTTTGTACAATAAATAATGGCACTGCTGATCTCCTGCACCCTTTTTGTTGCCACTCTCTCTCCACATGAATGCACTTCAGTGCTGCCTGCATGTCATGTTTCAGGGTAAGTTTACTGACAATGAAAACAGGTGACCATGGCTGTGTAATGTGCTTTGGCATTGGCAGTTGACATGTATTTATAAATATCATTTACAATATACAATATAATGGCTATTTTTGTTGAGGTTCTCATGCAAGATTTGTATCTTCTTTCTTTTAAAAGGTTACTATAGCAGTTTGTAGGCTGATGTGAGACGGGCGATTCTGCCGCTAGGGTAGGTAGGGTCTTTCTCTAAAGAGGCTGCCTTTCTGTCTCTATGCAATTGCTCAATCTGTAGCCATATGCAGGGACATGTCACTCTGATACTGGTCTGAACTGCCTGGAATTTGACCGCTAGCGGTGGGAGAGACTTCTCGCTTCGTCAGCTACAGAGTGAGTGATCCCATAGGGACAATAAGGCAGCTTCTTATAGATCCTGCCGCTCTCGATTTCGACAAATCACCAGTGGCAGGATCGCTAACAACAGAGACACCCATCTGACATTAACCTTAGTCAGTTTTGTTTTTCTTTTTTCGGAATATTTACAAAGTTAAAGCTTCTGTTTTATTATTTGTTTAATATTGGATATGTCTTATAAAACAAGGCTGATAATGTCCCCATAGATAGTATAGCCAGAAAAAGTTATAATTCCGCCCTTTGTATACGATTCATATACTATCGCACTGGGATAAACACTATGCACTTACAATAGAGAAATTAAATTCTATGCTTTTTCTTCCAGTCACCATTCCACATGTTTTATGTATAATAAGTTATAAGGGATTGTATAATGCACATTTTAAAGAAGCATTGCTTAGTCTAATACAAAATCATTCCTTTATTGACACTGTGTCCCCTTCTGTGCTAATTCAGTGTTATTTTTCTTCCACAGATGAACAAGAAGCAGTGCAAAAGAGAACCTTTACAAAATGGATCAATTCACATTTGGCTAAGGTGATCCCCATGTACATTGATACTATATTAGTATACCTAAAACTATGTTTTACACATTGTATTTACCATAAATAAAACTTCTATTTGGATTATTCAATATTTTCTTGTGTTAGGCCTCATTCACAAGGCGTTCATTTCCGGAGGCAGATTTCTGCAGGGATCACAGGTGGTGGCGGACAGTTGCAGCCGCCCAGCTTGTACAAATCAATGCTACTGTCAGCCTGTGTTCGGATGTAATCAAACATGGATCGATTACCTCCAGATAGAGACAGATGACAGGAATCCGCCCCCAGAAATAAGCACAGTGAGTAAATGAGGCCTGGATTCAAATGGCTTTTACAAACTTGAGGAATCAAATTATGAATTTGTTGGTGTTAAACAGCATGCTAAGATTCCTGCTGTTGCTTTGTTGCTTTGAAAGGAGTTAATTAAAAGATTGTGCTGACTCATGTCAACCTCTGCTGGCAGAATGACAGAGGATTGCACAATAGATTTAAGGCAGATCTACTGTATAGATCGGTGGACACAAAATGCAAATGCCTGTAAAAAGACAATCCTAAAAGGATAACTAAACCGAAGAACAAAAATGTAATATAATGTAGCTTACCTGTAATGATGTGGTGGCAGCATTGGTTTTTATTGTTTTGGAAAGTACAGAAAATACCTGTTGATCTTGCAGAAAAGCAGGGCCCACTTGCTGTGGGCTGAGCAGACAGCAAGAACAATCTTATCTTTCTTTTAGAAACTAGTAATCTTAAGGCTCTGTTCACACCTAGGCGTATCGATATATGCGCGTTTGTCGCACGTTTCTACTGCGATTCGCAGAAAAAAAACGTGCAACAAACGCGCGATCCGAGGGCTACTTGGCTGTATCCCAATGGAAACGCGCACCAAAAACGCAGCAAAGAAGCTCATGTACCTTTTCAGGCGTAGGCCGTTTTGTAGCACGTTCAGACGGGCTGAAATACGGCAAGGTGTGAACCATACCCATAGAAAACAATGGGATTTTCATGTTTGAGCGTTTTGTAGAGCGTTCGTAGAGTGTTGAATGCGCTACAAAACGTTCAGGTGTGAACCAGGCCTAACTGCCAGTTAATGAAGATGAACAAAGACAAACATGTTTGAAGTCCAGCTTGGTTGGCAACCATGGTTGTCTTCATAGATAGAGTGGAGGAGTGAATATAGCCACCAAGGGACAATAGGGTGTTCATTTATAAAAGCTCTGTCCAGCGTACAGCCAGACAGATGCTGTCCACCAGCACTAGTGCCCCATTTTGGCACTGACGAGTATTGGAAATTTGACAAATGAGCCCCTAAGTTTGTTATTCACAGGATTGCCAGGTGAAAAAAAAAAGCAACAAATCCTGAAAATAAGAAAACTAATACAGGCACCTTATCTAACTAGTAAGCTGTAAAACATTTTTGTTTTTATGTGTGGTACACTTAAGGTAAGCCCGCCATTCAGATTTTCATGTTTATCATTTTTAAGCCATCCACGTCCTAGATTCTTATCAACCCATCTAGATTCTATCTAGCAATTTAAGCCCCAGTAAAGGAGGGCTGTTAAAAACAAATTGGCGTGTCCTTTTGCAGTGTATGATAAAACAAACGCTTTGTGGTTTCTCAATATTTGGCCAGGGGCTTTTTATTTTCTGCACCTCCTGCATTTCATCTGAAGCATCCCATAGAGGTCCATGCACTGCCAATAGAGCTTTTGTACACTTTGATCTGGTTATTATATTGACTGTGAGATGGATCTACAGCTGGATACAACTGAATTTTTCCATCCAGATCCTATGATTTTTTGTCATCAATATGGCTGATTGACTCATAAGATAACCACTTTAGAGCGAGCACACAAACAATCCCTAGCAGAAGCCCTTCTCCAGGAACTATCTGAAGCACGTGAAGAATTACGTAAGGTTCTACAAACTAAATATACTAGATCCTTGAACTATCTTTTCCAACAAACCTATGAATTTGGAAATAAGCCAGGCAGACGACTGGCCCGTCTTTTACGAGCCCGTCAAAATGCTGGTTTTATTCCTAAAGTTGACTGTGGCAGACACTATCACATACTACAAGAAAGAGATAGCCCAATCCTTTAGGGAATTCTATTCTAAATTATATAATGTGAGACCCGATCCCTCTAAACCAGTGGTCCCCAACCCCCGGGCCGCGGCCCGGTACCGGTCCGTGGATCAAATGGTACCGGGCCGCAGGCAAAGCAGCGCTCCGACTCTGCTCTGCCCAGCTCCGTGTCACAGACTTTACTGCAGTTCATTGTAAAAACTTTGTACAATGAACTGCAGTAAAGTCTGTGACACAGAGAAGGGACAGCTGTATGCTCCGGCGTGTGTGCTGTGAAGACAACAGGCGGCACAGGCGATCACATCACTGTTAGCGATCACATCACTGTTAGCCTGGCCCCCGGCCGCAGGTGCAATGGTTCCCTCCCTCCAACGTCTCTCTGCCACATGCACCGCTACAGATGCGGCTCTCTAATCGTGCGGCCGCTCACTCCTCAAGGGGTACTCGGGAGGCTCTCTGTCTAACATACATGATTAGAGGGCCGCATCTGTCTGCTCCAGCCAGCCCGGATCGCCTCAGTATACCCTTGAGAAGCGAGCGGCTGCACTATTAGAGAGCCGCATCTGTAGCGGTGCAGGTGGCAGAGAGGCGGTGGAGGGAGTCACTGCACCTGCGGCCGGGGGCTTCATTTAGCGCAGGGGGTTCAGTGACGGGATATGCTGCGGGCAAACTGGCTGGTGTGGCCACAGGAGAGCCCTCACTAAGGCCGCGGTAAAATTATCAAACGTTGACCGGTCCGCGGCGATAAAAAGGTTGGGGAGCACTGCTCTAAACAACTTAAAAAAATACATGACAATTTAATTCGTACGTACCTGGCTAATCTCTCTTTCCCTCAAATTGATCAGACGACTATGCTGTCCCTAGAAGCCCCAATATCGGAACACGTACTAAACAAAGGCTATAACCACATCATCGACAGTGAAAAGCCCCGGCCCAGATGGGTTTCCATTAAAGTACTATAAAGTCTTTCAAACAACACTAATACCTCACCTATGCACGTACTTAAATACTTTCCCCACTGGTAGACCCCCTGATCCCGCTACGCTACACGCTCATATCTCAGTCCTCAAGGACCCAACTGTATGTAGTAGTTACAGGCCTATCTCTTTACTAATGCTGCTATTAAATTATACGCCAAAATTTTTAGCCAATCGCCTGGCTCCATTATTATCCCATCTTATTTCAGCAGAATAGTCAGGGTTCATACCGGGCAGGGAGGCCAGAGATAACACGCAACGTGCACTGACACTGGTTAAACACGCTTCTATATCAACCCTATCGACTATGATTCTTTCTACCGACGCTAAAAAAGTGTTTGATAGAGTCGATTGGGACTTTTTAAATGCCACACTTGAACACATGTGGCTAGGCCCTAGAATGTTACACTCAATTAAGACCCTTTATCACAAACCCACGGCACAAATTAAGGTTAACGGTAGCCTGTCCCAAGTTTTTCAACTTCACAACGGCACCCGTTAGGGATGCCCTTTTATCTGCACTATCTTTGGAACCTATGCTTATCTCTATCAGGAATAATGTAAATATTAAGGGTATTGAAGTGCAAGGTTATGAGAATAAAATAGCAGCATACGCAGATGATATTCTCTTTTTTGTGAGACAGCCTAGAACTTCAACACCTAACCTTCTTAAGGAATTTGAACAATTTGGCTTGGTCTCAAATTTTAATATTAACTTACTCAAATCTGAAATATTGAATCTCACGGCCTCCCCTCAGGAATGCCAACATTTACGCTGTTCATTACCTTTCATGTGGAAATCTTGCAAATTGAAATATTTGGGCATAAATCTGACTTCTAAATTCTCAGATTTGATGCAGTATAATTATATCCCACTATTGAATAGCATAAAGTCAGACTGGTCTAAGTGGACTAACGATCGACCTTACCTCACTTTGACAGGTAGGATCAATGCTATTAAAATGAAAGTTTTGCCAAGGGTGTTATATTTGCTGCAAACGCTGCCTATCTCCTTACCAGAATGTTACTTTAGGTCCCTGCGTAAAGAGGTTGATAAATATATTTGGAATCAGTCTAGAGCCAGGATTTCTCGACAGACTCTCATCAGGACCAGACAGGAGGTTGGTTTGGCCCTTCCGGACTTTACCTTATATTACTACGCCGCTGCCCTTCATAGAGTATTGGATTTGACCTATCAGTTGGGGCGCAAATGGTGGGTCGATCTGGAATCCTCTTTAGCTGGCCAGTCCTTATTGACGATACCCTGGATTCCACCAGGATATGGAGAGCTCCAGAGGTCTACTTCCCCACTGACTAGGTCCACTCTAACTATCTGGTCCAAAATATATCCTCAACTATTGGGCCCCTATAACTCTCCTTTACTACCCCTGCGGGGTCACTCATTTTAACTCCCAGGCCATCTGGACAATGGCCTACGACACTGGTCTACTAATAAATCTCCCAAGCTACATGAGGTCATACAGGACTCTGGCCTTATTAGTTCACTGCAACAAATACAGAATAAGTTCGATATTAGACCTCTGGATAACTGGCGATATCACCAGCTACATCACTTTGTCTCCTCTCTCCCCAAACCAATTAGATCCTTTGAAAATTGACACCCATTGGAGACATTATTGTCACAAACTGATTCTCCAACACATGGCCTCACGCAAATGTGTAAAATATTGCTCTCTTCGCGGACGTCTCAAGATCCTTTATACATTTCACAATGGGAGGCAGAACTGGGTAACACCTTGACTGGCTCTCAGAAAAAGCGGCTACTTAGCCTCAACTTTGTATCTTCTATTAGTACTCATGTAGTAGAGGCCTCATTTAAACTACTTGCAAGGTGGTATTATACACCGGATCGCCTCCATGCAATACACCCGTCCCATTCTTCGGAATGTTGGAGGGGATGTGGCTTTACAG